TCCAAGCCATTCTTTGTTCCATTCTCTCTAAATGACCTAACCATCTCAACAGCCCCTCTTCAGCCTTGTGAGTAATACTTATAGTAACTCCACACCACCACCTAATTTCCACACTACGACTTTTCTGCATATTTACACCACACATTGCCCTTAGACACGACATCTCCACTGCCTCCAGCCACCTCCTCGCTGCATTATTTACAAACTGAGCTTCACACCCATTTAAGAGTGTTGGTACCGCTATACTCTCGTACATTCCCTTCTTTGCTTCCATGGATAACATTCTTTGTCTCCACAGATACCTCAATGCACCACTCACCTGTTTTCCTTCATCAATTCTATGGTTAACCTCAGCCTTCATAAACCCATCTGCTGACACGTCAACTCCCAAATATCTGAAAACGTTCACTTCTTCCATACTCCTCCTCTCTCCAATGTGATATCCAGTTATCTAAATTGTCTGATACCCTCATTACCTTACTCTTATCTATGATCACTTGCAACTTTCCACCTTTACACACCCTCCCAAACTCGTCCACTAAACTTTCCAACTTTTCTTTAGAATCCCCCAAAAGCACAGTATCATCAGCAAAAAGTAACTGTGTCAACTCCCATTTTGTATTTGATTCCCCATAATTTAATTTCACCCCTCTCCCCAACACCCTAGCATTTACTTATTTTACAACCCCATCTATAAATATGTTAAACAACCATGGTGACGTTACACATCCCTGTCTAAGACCTCCTTTTACTGAGAAGAAATCTCCCTCTCTTCTACATACCCTAACATGTGCCTCACTATCCTCATAAAAACTGTTTACAGCATTTAGTAACTTACTACCTATTTCATATACTTGCAACATCTGCCACACTGTTCCCCTATCCATTATCATATGCCTTTTCTAAATACATAAATGCAATGAAAACTTCCCTACCTTTATCTAAATACTGTTCACATATATGCTTCAATGTAAGCACCTGATGTACACATCCTCTATCCATTCTAAAGTCTCCTTACTCATCTGCACTCATACTCTCTGTTTTACCTCTAATTCTTTCAATAATAACCCTATCATACACTTTACCTGGTATACTCAGTAAACTTATTCCTCTATAATTTTTACAATCTCTTTTGTCCCCCTTCCCCTTATATAAGGAATTATACACGCTCTCTGCCAATCTCTAGGTACCTTCCCCTCTTTCATATATTTATTAAACAAAAATACCAACCACTCCAACACTATATCTCCCTCTGCTTTCAACATTTTTGTCATGATCCCATCATTTCCAGCTGCTTTACCCCCTTTCATTATAAGTAATGCCTCACGCACCCCCCCCCCCCTCACATCCTGCTCTTCTCTCCTAAAAGATGTTATACCTCCCTGGCCAGCGCACAAAATTACTGCCTCCATTTCTTCAACGACATTTAAAAGTTCCTCAAAATATTCCCGCCATCTACCCAATACCTCCAGCTCCCCATCTGCTAACTCCCCTACTCTGTTTTTAACTGACAAATCCATTCATTCCCTAGGCTTTAACTTTTTTTTATTTCACTCCAATTTTTTTTCTTATTCTCAACAAAATTTCTTGACAGTGCCTCTCCCACTCTATCATTTGCTTTCATTTTGCACTCTCCCACTACTCTCTTCATTTTTTTTACTCTCCATATACTCTGCTCTTCTTACATCACTTCTGCTTTGTTAAAACCTCTCATAAACTACCTTTTTCAGCACAACCAGGAAACGTTCCATTCTGTAGATGTATCACTCGTGGTGTGGGTGATGCTTGTACATGTTAGGGAGGGAAGGAAGGAAAGAAAGACTCTCACGACACCATTTATTCACCAATTTAGAGGTCTCGCAGCAATTTCTGACAAAACAACCGTCTCCCCCTCTCACTACTCTACTAACCGTTTCATTAACACTGATTCATTATCTTGTGAATTACTATGGTGGTGTGAGTGGAGAGAGCAAGAGACAAACGGAAAGCTGTTGGGGTTCTGTCCATGGCAATGCATCAGACTGATGATAACGAAAATAGGGACACTTCCTATCTTATCTGAAGAACTATGTCTTATCAACAATAACATGGTGATTTTAGTGAAACACGACTAACTATCAATCAACGGCAGTTCTTCCTACTCCCCTACCGCCAATGAGGTTTTCTTAATGTCGGTAAATACCTCTTGCTTCAAGGAATTACAGCCAAATTCACCTATGGATCAAAACTGTCCCTAATTCCCTAATCCATCCTCTTACATTTAAAACAATACACGATTTCTCATATATGATTTTAAGCCAATTTCTCGGCATAGGTCAAGTCTTCACCGGCATCAAAGAACCTCCCTTGAGGAGTACATACACAAATACACATTTCTCAGTGTAAACACACTGAGATATACACCTCTGGATGGATATACACTTGATTGTTAACTAAACGGTAAATGTTAACGGACCAGTGTGTGGTGTGTGGCAGAGTAACAGTTACACTTGGACGTCACTTAATCCTGATGCTTATCAGAGTGCCAGTATAAGACATTAGGCAGAGCCGTCACGCTGGCTGTCAGGCTAACTTGCTCTGTTACGCTCACTTTTCGCAGCCTCCACCTAATGAATTAGATTACTCATACGACAGGGTATATACACCCCTATTACGTATATACACAGAGCTGTATATCTGCGTATACATAAACACCCAGAATTGAGTATCTTTATATAAATTTAAGATATCTATATGCAATGAATTAACTTGATCAAGGTTTGGAAGGTCAAAGTATTCATGCCTTTGTACAGGTGAATTACGACTTTAACGACTCCACGTGCACTCGACAGACTTACTTTAAACTCAAGAACTATACTGGACTGATCAGGTCTTCGCCAAATTGGTGGAAACTTCTTCCCTACCCTTGACGAGGCTCCAGCCAAGTAAATGGTGTACAAAGCAAACTAGCGATTAAGATAGTTTGTGCATGAAGTGTAGACGAAAAAAATCACCCAGGTGTATTTTTTATGGGAAAGCGTTAAACTTACAGGGGGTCCATACAGCACCTGGTGAATGTTAGGTGTACTTGAAAGAACGGGAGGAGTGGTGTCAATCCTTATGTACTTTTACTTTTAGTCAAATACTATTTACTTTATTTTAAATTAGGCTAGATTAAAGAACCTGCGACCGGTTTCGAAAGTTCTACTCTCTCAGATCGATGCCAGACTTCCCTGTTGATCACCTGATCAACCAGGGTCTTTGTGCAAGCGACCCGCAAGCTTCCCCCCCCCCTCCCTTAGGATTACAACCCGGCTGATATCGCACTTTCAGGATAGCGGTCTCTCTTCCGCTTGAAATTTTGCTTTTTATTCCAGCAATATTTCTATCTGCTAGAAATATGTTGGAAAACCTTGAAGCACAGATATTGACCCAGTGTTCTATACATGTGTTTATAGCACTCCAAGAATTTAATAGCTGATTTAAGGCGAATGAATATTCCAGAATTTCTGAGTGAGATGGGCGAGTCAAAGGAAGACCCAGTTCTGCGAGACACCTCTATGCTAGCATATTCTAAATTGGAATCTTCGTAAAGAACTACCAATATACCGCAACGAACAGTTGGGGCATTTATATAATATACAATATTACAGAATAAAGGTGCAGGAAGGCCGAATAGGTAAAACCAGTCAATTAGCAAGAACTCATTTAAAATTAAGTCCTTTCTAAATTTTTCTCTTATACATTAAAAGATTTTTTTTTCATTCATGTTAATATAAAAATTAATGATTTTGTACCAAAAGAACCTTAGGAAACTTACCTAACCTTATTATAACGAGCGCAATTTAATTTAGCCTAATCCAACTAAATATATTTTAGATAAGTTTACAATAGTTTAATAATAAACAAACACATTGAAATAATTTTTTTCGTTAGGCTCAGAATGATTTTTGCGAAATTATTGCATACACAAATTTTCGCTTGCCTTATTCGGCAAGAAGTGCGTTGCTATTTAAGCCAAAATCCTAAGTTTTACTTTTTTGGCACGCCATTTATATATATATATAATATATATATATATATATATATATATATATATATATATATATATATATATATATATATATATATATGTCGTGCCGAATATGTAAAACTGTTCAATTAGCAAGAACTCATGTTAATGTAAAAATTTTTAACTTTTGCTACAAAAGAATCTTAATAAACTTACCTAACCTTATTATAACAAGAACAATTTATTTTAGCCTAACCCAACTAAATATATTTTAGATTTGTTTACAATAATTTAATACTAAACAAACACAGTGAAATATATTTTTTTTCGTTAGGTTCAGAATGATTTTGGCGAAATTATTGCATACACAAATTTTCACTTGTCCTATATGGCAAGATGAGCGTTGCTATTTAGGCCAAGATCGCAAGTTTTGCCTATTCGGCACGACATTATTATATATATATATATATATATATATATATATATATATATATATATATATATATATATAATATATATATATATATATATATATAGTGGACCCTCGAATTTAGTCGTGCCTTTTCTGTATGAAAAACTATTTTTATCTATAAAATGTATTTTTTGTTAATATTTCCCATAGGAAATATTGTAAATCCAATTAAACCATTCCAGGCACCCAAAAATATTAACAAAAAAATACATTTTATAGATAATAAAAATAGTTTTGCATACAGAATAGGCACGACTAAATTCGAGGGTTCACTGGAGATGGGAAGTACAGTGCCTGCACTCTGAAGGAGGGGTGTTAATGTTGCAGTTTAAAAACTGTAGTGTAAAGCACCCTTCTGGCAAGACAGTGATGGAGTGAATGATGGTGAAAGTTTTTCTTTTTCGGGCCACCCTGCCTTGGTGGGAATCGGCCAGTGTGATAATAAAAAAAAAAAAAATATATATATATATATATATATATATATATATATATATATATATATATATATATATATATATATATATATATATATATATATATATATATATATAAGCAGTTTAAATTTGCCACTAATCAACATTATGCTATTTATTTTATTTAAAATAAACCCATAAAACTCCTGCGACCCAGTCCCAAACCATCCCTCCTGGATGATAACTGTTGGCGTTAACAACACGCACTCCAGGGTAGGTGCCATAGCCCGGCTGATCCGGAACTAACCTAAACACATACCAGCAAGGGGCAAGAGTGACGGAAGACAAACACTAGCCGAGAAAGCACATCATCTGGAGCTAGAGAAGAGTGGCGGTGGATACGAACAGTTACCACGCCAATGTGCACAACCTTAGTACAGTGAAACCTACCACCAGCTGGGAAAGTTTACAGATGCTTAGTAGACTGCTAGGTACCACCAGCCAGGGGCAGCCAGCAGAGGTGTATACAAGTACACAGGCAGCTACTACCAACCAAGGAAAACTAGCAAAGGTGTATACAAGCTTAGAATACTGGCAGCTACCACCATCCAGGGAAAGGTGAGGAGGAACACATGTATAGTATGGAGTGGGCAACCCAACGTGTTTTCGTGAGATGTCTCAGACAGGATGATCTTTACTCCTCCCTTCACTTTCCTCCCTTTCACTCTTCTCACCTTACACTTCTCCTCACTCCACACTAACACCATTATAGTTAAACACAAACATGGGTGATAGAACACAGGGAGAAAGGGATAAGAAGCAGGCTGGAGGAAATCAACACAATAAAGACGAAAGTGAATAGGCTTCTAAAGAAATAAGACCAGGTAAAAACAATGGGACTAATGGGATATCACTTAAAATCTTAAGAGGAGCTGTATATTACGTGACCTCACAAGGATCTACAAGTATCATGGGCAACTGACAAACAGCTTGATAACTGCAAATATTTACCTAGAGAGGGTTTCGGGGGTCAACGTCCCGGCGGCTCGGTCTGAGACCATGCCTCGTGGTGGATCAGGGTCTGATCAACCAGGCTGTTACTGCTGGCCGCACGCAAACTGACGTACGAACCACAGCCCGGCTGGTCAGGTACTGACTTTAGGTACCTGTCCAGTGCCTTCTTGAAAGACAGCCAAGGATCTATTGGCAATCCCCCTTATGTATGCTTTTCCCAAAAATGAAACAAAATTAATACTGGAAGCACTACTTTACAGGCCAGTATCGCAAACAAACATTTAGACGAAGATGTTGGAAAAAAACATTAGTGTATCCTAAGACGCCGATTCATATGAGATAAGCAATGGTTCCAGGATGGTAAATTCTGCTATGCAAATCGCCTAGCCTGCAACTGAGTAATGCTAGAATATTACCGACAGTCTCCAAGACGATTTAAAAATACTATGAATGCGGTCAGGAAGGAACCTGGGTTACAAAACATTACATGCGGTATTTAACTTAGCATTACACATGGAATGTTGATAAATGCTTTAGGCATAATTCTGACCACATTTAGTAAATACCCCATACCTTTAAAATATGAAAAACTAAATTCTTTAGCTGGGTTACCACGAGCATAATTTTGTTACGCAATTATATATAAGTAATGCTGTGGGCGCGCACGTACACAAGCACGCGGTATACACCCCAAAACCTACCCCTCCCACCTGCCAACCTTGGCTGCCCACACTCACTGACTCGACAACAATGTCCAGAACACCTTGTCATCGTTTAATCAAGGGTTATCTCCCGACACCAGCCACACAAGTTTAAATAAGATTTACTTGAATAAAAAAAATCATATTAATTTTTGAACGTTGCGAACGTTATAAGACTTCGGGAAGAAGGCCAGGTAAAACACCACAGCTTCGTACAATCTTTAGCAGCCCTAGCAAAGTATTACTGTAAACACAGTATTTTTAAAGAAGCGTTGACTCAGAGGACATAGCCCTGGGTCCCTCCCACACTACAAGAACCAGGGATCCCTCCCACCAGCACACACCAGGGGGTAACCAGTATCAACCTCCCTCTCACCATAACACATTTCTAAAAGAAAACTTGCGTTTATTTATAAACGATTTACAGAATCTCCTGAAATTCTCGTTCACTGATGAAGTAACCCCATCTTTATTTACTACGTCAATTTTCTTATGAGGTATCAACGTCTTAACGCTTCCTCTAAACTGATAAATGTTATTCACCGTGAGCTAACCAACACAGATACAAGCGTATGGTATGGAAATACAAACATGAAGTGGGAAAAAGACACGTACAGTTCAGTATATTTAATGAAATGTTTAGCCACGAATGGCTTCTGAAGAAGACATTCCTACTAAAACGCTTCCTTATTGAACATTCACCGTCTTTTTCCCACACAAAGATCGAAGATGAGTAGCCTGCTCGGGCTCGTTAATTACTGTTCCATAATGTCAAGCAAATCATATAAGAATGAGTATCATATACGAGTAATATTTTGCACACTAGGTTACGTTCTATTTGCCCGTGCCAATCAGTGACTGTTCTAACCAAGCTTAAATGTTAAAGTTAGAACTTTACTTGTATATGTATAAAAAAAATTATCCATTGCGTATGGATAATATTCACGTTGTATCATAATATTGTACATGTTGGACGTAAAGTAACAATACACAACAAATAACTCGCGCATAGGAG